ACAGAGGAGGGACGGTGTCTACTAATCACTGAGGATCCCTATGGGCAAGAGCAAATGGTACTTCACCAAAAGAGATTGTTCAAAAACAAAAGTGTGATTAGATTAAGAATGCTATCTGAACAATACATGTGTGGGGTGTTTTTTTTTTAATTCAGTGGAACACCTTACATAATCCAATGATCATTATTAGAAAGTATTACAGGATAGTAACACAATGAATTGCAACAAAATTCACTGCTTTCTGGAGAATGCTGTTTTTGCATTACAGTCTTCTGTTACAGTTTACAATAACAAGGTGTCAAGTGCTAGTTTGTTATACTACTGTATATAATTAATAGGTTTTGCATGAGCACAAACACACAAAATCTAAACAATTCAATTCCTCACATTTTTACTCCGACACACTTGGCCATGTTTCAGTGATTGAGGCTACATGGGAAATTACAAGTAACCCAAATACGAGTGTGCCCATTGAAACATCATGGCTTACATCACCATGAGCCCATGTGAGACCTTCATCTGTGGCAATGCAAAATGCTTAAAGATGGACGGCCTTGTGCAAAGCAATGTGAAATAAATTTTGCCTGCAAATCACATAATGCTAGTTGTTCCACCACTGTGCATGGATTTACAGACCCTGTGTCACTTCTGTTTCAAATAGAGGCTTACCTGTTCACCAAGAGCAGCTGGGGAGTGGCACATACAGTATGCAGTCAGTTTCTGTCTTTGAATGTACCTTTGTCAGTGTGCTGTAGCACAACTTGCTTTGTTGCAGGCCTGGTACTCTTAAAAACTGTTTTTCTGAGTGGTGCTAAGTGCGAAATTAACTTAATGGTTAAGGTAATAATAATTGCTTACACTTATATAGCGCTTTTTCTGGACACTCCACTCAAAGCGCTTTACAGGTAATGGGGATCCCCTCCACCACCACCAATGTGCAGCATCCACCTGGATGATGCAACGGCAGCCATAGTGCGCCAGAACGCTCCCCACACATCAGATATCAGTGGGGAGGAGAGCAGAGTAATGAAGCCAATTCATAGAGGGGGATAATTAAGAGACCATGATTGGTAAGGACCAATGGGAAATTTGGCCAGGACGCCGGGGTTACGCCCCTACTCTTTTCGAGAAACGCCCTGGGATTTTTAATTTTAAGGTAAACCAGGATGTACAAACAATATAAGCACAGCAACTACTAACAAATTTGATTGCATAGAATGCAGAATTTATTGATGAATACAAGAACAGTTAAATTAAATGAAAACTGTCTGTATTGTATTCTTGGGACCATCTAAGACATTTTTGGTATATAATTCCCATTGGCCTATATTCCTTATATATGTAGACAACAAAGAAACAATCCTATCAATACAACTATACAATATAATAATATGTATCTGCCAGCAGCCATATCACCCTGTAACTCACAACTAGCAATCCACTGAAGCTAAGTAGGTGTGAGCCTGGGAAAAACTAAAATTGCTGCTAGGAGTGGTGTTAGTTTGGCCAGCAGGGGGCGCTCAACCTGCAATCTACGTGGGTCCTAATGGCCCAGTATAGTGATGGGAAAACTATATTGTAAAAAGGTGCCATCCTGCAGATGAGACGTAAAACTGAGGTCCTGACTCTCTGTGGTAATTAAAAATCCCAGGCTGTTTTCAAAAAGAGGAGGGGTGTAACCCCAGCATCCTGGCCAAATTTCCCATTGGCCCTTACCCATCATGGCTTCCTAATAGTCTCCATCTATGAACTGGCTTCATCACTCTGGTCTCCCCCCCACTGAGAGCTGGTGTGTGGTGAGAGATGCCTTTACATCATCCAGGTGGGGCTGCACATTGGTGGTGGTGGAGGGGAGTCCCCATTACCAGTAAAACACTTTGAGTGGAGTGTCCAGAAAAGCACTAAAGAAGTGCAAGGAATTCTTGTTATTATTATTATTTTAATTATGCTGTCCAGGAGAAGCATTACTTCTTTCAGAATCTATTAATAAAGTCTGTTCATGAAAATCACAGAGGAAGTTAATTTTCATCATAACTTAATAATGACACCCTCCTAGTGTTTTCAAAGGGCAGTCTGGCTTGTGAGAAAACTATGCTGGAATGCTCATACATTATAAAAAGTAACAGGTGCTGAATTCCTAACACGTGGAGAATATCTGTTAGTTTTGAAGTGTTTTAGAGGGTGTAGGCACACCCCCAGGTCTGATTCAAAGCAGGTGGTGTTTTTGTAATTAGAAAAGTGCTCTGTCACATCCCTGTTACTGTTCTTTAAATTACTTAAAACTACAGTAGATGGTTATCCAGAAATAAAGAACAAAAGAAACTCACCCTTTTTGTGGATCTGCCAGACAATTCTGTAACATCACATATAGCAGTAACACTTAAAAATATGCCGTACTGTATATTACAACACATATGTGTAGGGATCTTAACATAACATAATCTTATCATAGAATTGGAAAATGACAATAACCAAAATACCAGAAATGACTACTGATTAACCTACCTTGCAGAATGGCGACACTTAGTGTCATTTTTAGGTACTGCTTTTCGGAAGAATTTGAATTACCCTTTTTTTAAATGAAAGACTGATTTAATGTAATGTGTAATGACACCTGAAGAAGGCTCCACGGCCAAAACGTTGTGTTCTCTTTCTTCTTTTTTTCAGCATGGAATAAACCTATTACTTGTTCCTTTAATGTAATGTGTTTCTTTATTAGCCCTATACAATTTCTTGCATTAGGAATTCATCTTTTCACATACCCCAGCTTTTCTCCATGAGACACAGACACATAGAGAGGGAGAGAAGCTTGGGGTCAGAGCGCAGGGTCAGCCATTGTACAACCCTGGGGCAGTTGGGGTTAAGGGCCTTGCTCAGAGTAGGATTCCTCTGCCAGCCGTGGGATTTGAACCAGCAACCTTCTAGTCACAGGCACAGATCCTTAGCCACAGAGCCACCACTCCACCCGATTTGTGCCCTATGTGTACTATCTTATGTGGGTCAAATATTGAAGATGTATGGGTACAGATTTGTAGACACATTTAAGCAGGAATACAATACGTTTTCAATAAAAAACAGAATTAGATCAGCTCCTCAACTCACAAACTGACTAGATATTCCAGATAAGTTTATTAATAGTTTAGTGTTTGCCTGAGGCCTGTTTGATGGAGCCATGATCAAGAGCTGTGAGGCATAAGGGTTAAGTTAGGCTTGTACTATAATTTGCAAATTGTACAGTAGGTGGCTCATAGCTCATTCTGGTCTAGATAAATAGCTTTTGATAACATAATGGTTATCAGATATTAATATACATATAGTTTAAAGATATACTGCATATCTGCACCCTAAAAACAAAATTCCACAGTGATACAATGATGTCCAAAATTAAAAAAGCATCCTTACATTAGAAGTTATTTCATAATGTTTCTTAAAATTTATCAGTATAATAAGGAGTCAACAAAATTGTGTACGATGAAAAATATGCTTACTTTAAAAAGCTATCACTTGTATTTTAAAATACTATTTCAGTTATCATTTAGTATTTTTCATTAAAAAACTTTCATTAAGAAATAATAGTTCATTTTGGATCTTTATTACATCTCATTGTGTCCAGGGGGCTTCATAGCATTTATCACCAAATACTTTTACTAAACAATTTTTGCTGACACTGAAGCTCAATTTAATTCACTGATGGAAAGGAATAATTAATGAGTATGCAGTAACAAGGAAGGACCTCGAGCTGCATTTAAATTTATTAGCAATCTAAGTGTGTGGAATATAATGAAGGACAACAATATTAATTTAAGCTGTCTTATGATAATGTATGAGACTCTTTAAAATCTGGAGCTGGCAGACAAAGCCATTTTTGATACTGTTGTCCTGTGGATCTCAAAGGGTTATGTGTCTGTGTGAGGCAATTTGTTTACTAATGTGAGTAAATGGATGATGTTTGTAGAAGAAACATTTTTATTTTCCTACATGTACATGTAAACAAATCTTCAAACATTTATTTCAAATTTCTAAAACAAAGTCAGGCACTACTAAAATAAAAGATTGATTGATTGAAGTTCTCACATTTTAATTGATTACATTTTTGCAGCAACATATATTTTAGAACAATTTTAAGTGAAATCATATACAAAATATTACATTAATAAAAATGTAAGTAAACGCCAGCCAATTAAAATGTACCTGAACATTTTTTGTGACCTATTTCATTAGCTTCTAAAAATGTTAAGACTGGGAGGTTATAGATTGATCATGAAAAAAACTATGTTCTTGGTTTTTAATCAGTAGGCACATGACACACAACTCACCTTTGAGAGTTACTGTTTTGATGAGAACATGAATTCCATATGATTCACACCTCGGCACATGGGAGCAGTAGCCTAACGTACAGTATAAAAAGCAGAGCAAATGCATACTTTGAAATTTGAAGGGCAATTAAAAATGTTAATCCTGAAAGTTGTCATGATTGCTCTTTTAACAGAAGCAAAACAACCCATTTGCAGGCTGCTTGGCAGATGGAAGACGCCTGCATTTTCAAAGGATGGAGACATTGTCATAGGTGGAATATTTTCAATAGACAGAGACTATCCAGGAACCACAACAGACTTCAGAAACATTCCAGAAAATGTGGAATGCAAGGGGTAAGTTAAGATCGTAGGTATAGAACTTTCACTGCATGAATTCAAGACTAAAACTATAAATCATTACAGCAAGTGAGTAAGCAGTGTGTTGATCTTTTGGCAGATTCTGTTTGTTACTGTAACTATAATGAATGTGTTAAATGTCTTGATTCAGCAAGATTTTCTTTTTATTTCAAAATAAAAGTGCCAGATTCCTCAGTATGAAAATCTCAACATGTTAAACTCAAGTATAAATGGTTCATAGTAGTGTACAATTAATGAATACTAATAAAATACTAATATTTAACGCCAAATATTTATATTCATGAGGTCTTTGTATGTTCTTACATCTTCAGCATACATTTCAGAGAATTTAAGTTTGCCCAAACCATGATCTTTGCAATACATGAAATAAACAACAATAAAGAACTGCTACCAGGTGTTTCCTTGGGCTACAGAATCCATAGTGTTTGTAATACTATTCCTGCATCTGTTGGAGCTGCCTTGGATTTAATAAATGGCCAGGAAGAAGGACCTTTGTCTGAAAGTTCCTGTACCAAACCACCAAATGTTCATGCTATTATAGGCCAGTCATCATCCTCCATAAACATTGCAACTGCCACCACAATTGGACCTTTTCGTGTGCCAGTGGTAAGACTTGTTTTAATATTCCAGTCAGCAGTCATCTTAGATTTACAATTAAATAAAATTAAAATTAAATTAAATAGGTTAATGAGAAATTTCTAGAGCTGGTATGTGCATATGAAACACACAAAAAAGAAAATAAAAAATAGCCAGTATTTCTATTTAATATGCATGTTAGAAAATATGATGTTTTGCAAGTGGTTTTGGGACACTACAAAAATGTTATGTAAATAAAATATTCAGGTAAACTTGATCTGTAAAATAAATTTTAAATAATCAAACCTATTTTATCTTTCTGTCTTCCTATCCCTGTCCTATTGCTATATTTTCAGATCAGTCACCTTGCTACCTGTGCTTGTCTGAGTAACAGAAGACGATTCCCTTCATTCTTCAGAACCATCCCAAGTGACTATTATCAGAGCAGAGCCCTGGCTCAGCTGGTGAAGCACTTTGGATGGACCTGGGTTGGAGCCATTAGAAGTGATGATGACTATGGCAACAATGGGATGGCTACATTTGTTCAAATCGCACAACATGAAGGGATATGTGTAGAATACTCAGAGGCCTTATCGAGGACTGATCCGATAGAGAAAATTCGCAAAATTATACAAGTCATAACGAATTCCACATCAAAGATTATCGTAGCTTTTCTGGCACAGGGAGAAATGTTAGTGCTGCTACAAGAAATGATCCTTCACAACGTTACGGGATTGCAATGGGTTGGCAGTGAATCTTGGATTACTGCCAGCAACCTGGCAAACGATGAAAGTTATAAAGTTCTGGGTGGTGCCGTTGGATTTGCAATTGATAATACAGTCATTAAAGGTCTGGATGATTTTCTGCTAAGTGTCCACCCATCTAATGACCCTGAAAACAGAATATTAAAGACATTTTGGGAAACGGTCTTCAGCTGCACCCTGACTGAACAAAGAGCTGGTGACAGTGTGCAACGATGTACAGGGTCTGAGAACTTAAGAGATGTGAATAACCCATACACTGATACCACAGAGATGAGAATCCCTCACAATGTTTATAAAGCAGTGTATGCAGTAGCACATGCACTGCATGACTTGTTCAACTGCCAAAACGGACAAGGTTCTGTTTTCAATACAACATGCCCGGACAAGATGGAAATTGAACCATGGCAGGTAATAATAATCAGCAGAATATTAGTTTAAAAAACTATAACAACCAAATTTCCAGGAGTTATTTACCAACTGTACCTAAAACAGTGTCATACTGTATGTCATTCTTGACTTTACTTTTTTATGCTCTGGTGGCACATACATTTAGTGCTAAAGGGTGAGAAAATACAACGAAAATTCAAATCTTTATTAATATGTTTGGCTGAAATGTCCAAATCAACTTGTATTTGTATCCATTTAGACAACTGAGATTTACAATATACTGAAGCACACTAATTGAAATATCTTGCTTAAGGGTACTGTCACATCCAGAGTTACAACCTTCAGTTATTCAGTTACTGTACAAGTCCAGAGTCCCAACTGAATACATCATTCACTACAGAGACAGGCAAAATGCTCAGCACTAAATCCTGATTCTCTCTTAATACTGACTGAACCACAGTATAGAAGTACATCAGCTCTCATAGTGAAATATTATTTATAAGAAGATTCTAAAATATAAATGGTGCTTAACTCACAATTGATTTTGATTCATTAACCTAGGTGCTTCATTACCTGAAAAATGTAAACTTTACAACTACAACTGGGGAAAGAGTGTCTTTTGATGAAAATGGAGGTCCTGCAGCACGATATGAATTAGTTAATTGGCAGCTAAATAACAAAGGAGATACTGAGTTTGTGACAGTTGGATATTACGATGCGTCTTTGCCAGCAGGACAGCGGTTTACAATGAACAACATTTCTGTTGTCTGGGCAGGCGATCAAGATCAGGTAGTCTTCATCTGCCATTCAATATCAATCTATCTGCTGATGAAGCAGACTCATCTATTTATTCTCTGCACATGAACTGTACTGTAAATTGAGGTCAATTTTATAGCTGAATGCTTATATGATCCCAGTGATATTTCATGGTGATGAAGTGGTACTGTATATAAGATGTTACTGGCACAAAACCCAGTTATTCTGAATATGTAAAAATGTTACAAAGAGATTTGTATTTTATTTAAGAAAATTAGGAATGCCTTCACACTGCTGAAATTCTGATACTTAATTGTATCGAGTTGTTTGTCTGTTTCTATTGTACTGCGCTTGTAAAGTCTTTGTGGCTGCTGCCTCTGCTTGCCCCTACCGGGACACACATGAAATCAAGATATTCTGGTAAAAAACATTTTTTTTTAAATTGTAAAATATTATTTTTAGTACTGGGTTTCTGTTAAAACTTAATTGGTGCAACTGGAATGCTCTATTTAAGTCCTGTTACCATTTTAAAACATTCAGATATAAAATATGGTGTTGCAGTCTTCAACAGTTAAAATGTTACCTTTCTTTACTTTTATCTTCGTAATAGCAAAAAACAGTGTAAGCCTTCTATTGCTTGTTGTGTTTTGATGTGTTGTGTATTGTGTCCTTAAGCTTAATAGGTTTTGTTGTTATAAAGGTGCCTGTGTCAGTGTGCAGTGAGAGCTGTCCTCCAGGCACTCGGAAGGCTGTTCAGAAGGGAAGGCCTGTCTGCTGCTTTGACTGTGTACCATGTGCTGAAGGAGAGATCAGCAACCAAACCGGTAAGATCAAAACCCCAAATTATGAAACACAACACATTAAGACATTTCAGTTGAGCAGGCTGGACACAGAAGTTAATTCCTAATTCATGTACAGTAAGTGACATTAACATCAATCTGAATGTATGTTCAGATGTCTTTTCAGGACATCACTCTTCATTTTTTTTTCTATTTACTATAGATTTATATTTATTCTTTCAGATTCCATTGACTGTACTAAGTGCCCTCTGGAATACTGGTCCAATGATCAGAGAGACCAGTGTATCTTGAAGGACATTGAATTTCTGTCTTATGGTGAAATCATGGGAATTCTGTTAGCTGCATTTGCTTTACTGGGAACATGTTTAGCTTTTGTTACAGCAGCTGTTTTCTTTAGATTTAAAGATACTCCCATTGTTAAAGCCAATAACTCTGAACTAAGTTTCCTTCTGCTCTTTTCATTGACTCTGTGTTTCCTCTGTTCACTTACTTTCATTGGCCAGCCCTCTGACTGGTCCTGTATGTTGCGCCACACAGCATTTGGGATCACATTTGTCCTGTGCATCTCTTGTGTTCTGGGGAAAACAATAGTGGTGTTAATGGCCTTTAGGGCTACACTGCCAGGCAGTAACATTATGAAATGGTTTGGGCCCACACAGCAAAGGTTAAGTGTTCTTGCTTTCACACTAGTACAGGTTTTGATATGTGTTCTTTGGTTGATATTATCACCTCCCTTTCCCTATAAAAATACAAAATATTATAAAGAAAAAATAATTTTAGAGTGTGACTTGGGTTCTACAGTAGGCTTTTGTGCTGTGTTAGGGTATATAGGATTCCTCTCTGCCATGTGCTTTTTGCTCGCTTTCCTGGCTCGGAAGCTGCCTGATAACTTCAATGAAGCCAAATTCATTACATTCAGCATGCTCATATTCTGTGCTGTCTGGATCACCTTTATCCCAGCTTATATCAGCTCTCCTGGGAAGTTCACAGTGGCTGTGGAAATATTTGCTATTTTAGCATCAAGTTTTGGTTTGCTGTTCTGTATTTTTGCACCAAAATGTTATATTATAATATTAAATCCTGACATGAACACAAAGAGACATTTGATGGGTAAGCAACCTTCAAAATTACATTAAATCTAATATGAGAAGTGTAAGGAGGGAAAAGCACTTTTGGAATAATTTAGTTTTACACATTGGTTAGTGAATTGAATTAAGTAATTTAATAAATAGAAAAATAGGCATATCCATACCAATTATTAAAAACAATAATAGTACACACTAAAATTTTTAATTTTTAACATTTTCAATGTATTACAAGTCTTGGTAAATGCCAAATGATACAACAAAGCACATGTAAGTTTATAACATTATTAACTGGCTAGACTTAAATGCAGTTACATTTGTTTTGAAATTGTTCTTGCATAATTCTCATTTTTGAAAATTGTCTAACATAATTCTCTTACATAAAATACAGCAGAATTATTTGGGGACCGTTTGACTATTCATTTACCATTAACAGGTTGATGAGCAGAGGTCTTTGAAATCCACAGCATTTGCAGGGCTTTTTACTCAGATACAAAATGTGCCATTTTATTAATTAATGCGAGGGGCTAACAGGAAAACAAAGGTGAGGACACACGTCCTTACTGCTAAAGGTTTCTTTGTAGTGAGGAAAACTGCACTGCAGCTGGAAGTGCTGATGTTGGTCTACAAACAACTTTAAAAACAATTAAATGTACAAAGCCATTTCCTCTGAGAATAAAAGCCTATTTCTCCCTGAAAGACATCAGGTCTCCTGTGTCAGCAGCTCTGCTCACTCCCCTCAGCCTCAGCACTGCCTGAGGTTTACAGAGGAGGGACGGTGTCTACTAATCACTGAGGATCCCTATGGGCAAGAGCAAATGGTACTTCACCAAAAGAGATTGTTCAAAAACAAAAGTGTAATTAGATTAAGAATGCTATCTGAACAATACATGTGTGGGGTGTTTTTTTCACAACACTTTGAAAAATAAGTAAAATTAGTAAGGTACTGTAGTAAGACAATGAACTGCAAAAAAATCACCAGTCTGCTGTTATAGTTTGCAATAATAAGGTGTCAAGTGCTAGTTTGCTATTGTATATAATGAAAAAAGATCACATATGCCCAAACACACAAAATCAACAATTCAATTCCTCACTTTTTTACTTTTTTTGGACATGTTTCTGTGATCAAGGCTGAGTAACCCAAATACAAGTGAGCTCACTGTAACATCATGGCTTAGATCACCTGACCCCACATGATCGTTTCACCTGTTTGTGTTAATGCAAATTGCTACACCAGTTTATAGATGGCCTTGCCGACTGATACAACTAGAACTGCACACAATCCTAACTGAACATCTCTGTTAACTCATGGAGGCATAAAGCTGCCATGTGATGACAAGGAGATGAAGGGTGGTGCAATGGCTTCAGTGATGACAGTGTAAGCATTCAAGATAATGGCGCAATCTGGGTGTCACAATCACATCCCCCATGGGTGAAAATGTTTGCCTCATTAAGGGTCTGACTAGAAAACTCAGACCTTCAGTGAGGCAGTCAAACATCTTCATCGACTAGAACATTCATACTGTATGCATGCGTGTGTAACGGGAACCGGTTCAGATTTCCGTGTAGTGAGTATTTAGGACCCTAGGCAGACGGTAAAATCTGGAAGAGACTGGAGAAGGGCAACAGGGAAACACGACAGGATCAGGACAGGATGACTGACGGGGGGGGGGGGGCGTGACGCCAGTGTTCCGGCGCAGGTGAACAAGTCCAAAACGATCCGGAAGGGCAAACCAGGAAGCAGTCCAAAAGTCCATAGCCGGGAGATAGACAGGAACAAAGACGGAAACAGGGACGAGGAATCAGGAACTAGGAAGTTAAAGACATAACGGAGCCTGGTGTTCCGAGCCCCTGACCCAGATGGTCAGGGGAATAAGACCTGCCGTTGGGCTACCCACGAGCCCGGGGAATAGGCAAGCCCTGTGACGTCCATCTTCCAATGCTGAGCGCAGAGCTTCAGAGGCGTGTGTTTAAATAATACACATGGGACAAGGGGCAGGTGAACGTAATAATGAAACTAAAATACAAAAAAGGGCTGGAGCGCCATCTGGAGGAGGGATGAAGATAGTGACAGTCAATTCCCGTCACTGCAAACAAATTTTGCATTGGTACCTATGAGGACACCATCCATGAGCACTGGAGGAACTGTAGAATGCATGCCCACTGAATGTCAAAGCAACTCAGAGATCTCTGCTTTCTCTGAAGCATTACCACATTGTTACACAATGATACCAGGCCACACACCAGACCACAAAATGTGACTGATTACTGTATTACAGATAGGAGGGACAACACTATCATCCTCACCTGGCACCTACTGATTCACATCACCTTTCATCCTTAGGAAAAGCAAGAGATTTTTCCCAGCTGATAAAGACAAAATACGTCTTGTTTCAAGGAGTTAAAACGTTGTTTATCTCTATAACTTAAACTCAAAAGACAAGGATACTACTGCACGTGACGAAACTGATGTGTAACATTACTTTATTATTGCATTTAGAAATATGTGCATTACTTTCATAGCTCATGCTATTTTATGTTTGTGCATTTAGCTTGTAATGTATTTTCAAACAAAAGAGAGGAGAGTCATAAAAATGCTGATATATTTAGTGAAAACTATATAATTCCCAGGGTGTTTAAAAACATCAAATTGAATCAAATTTACTTCAATTATCAGAAAAACAAATAACAATTAAATTAGTTCAGGAGGGTAGCTGCGTCAGCCTGTGTAGGCTGCAAAGGATCAAGTAATAGGTTTATTCCTATTAAGAGAGAAGAAAGAAAACACAACATTTTGGCCGTGGAGCCTTCTTCAGGTGAGAGAAAAACAGGGCAGATAGTAAAGGTAATGTAGCATAGGAGAACAAAAGCTGTGATGCAGGGAGGAAGAGGAGGAATGATGAAGAGATCTAGAAAAAAATAACATTAATACTGAATTGATGTTAAATTCCTTGAGTACAGAGCCCACCGCATATGCAACTTTTTGACATTGGACCTCCTAGGGGCAAATGCACAAAAGCCAAATGAGTCTTGCCCAAATAATTTAACACAGTTTTGCCACGTTGATTATATCAGGAAAAAAACAGCCAACAACTCTTAAAAGAAAATATATTTAATTGCAGCCCGTGCTGTATTTGTTTGCTGGATTATAATTCACATTCAACAACAACTAGGAAAATTGTTAAAATAGAAACAAAATGTCATAAACCAGCCAAAACCTGATGTGGATATGACCCTCCTGACTCAACTGCAAAAGTTTATGCTGGAGACAAGGTGTTAGTATTTCTTTCAAGCAAAGTTCCAATTGCTAAAAATGTTATTCTAAAATTGCTACAAACAAACTGCATGAGTCTAAATATTAGCTTTGAATCAGCAAATGCACTTTTTGTTATTTTCTTTTACACACCAGAGATCCAGCTCACCTTAGAGAGTTACTGTTGTAACTGTTGTGATGACATTGACGTTTGCTTTGGCACACAGGAGAGTATATATACCAGGATGAATACAACACTTTGTCTCCAGTTTGAGAAGGACTAGAAAATGTTTGTCCTGAAGGTTGTGCTGATAGCATTTTCAACACTGGCAGAAAAACCCATCTGCAGGTTACAAGGACGCCCAGAAACGCCTGCATTTTCAATGGATGGAGACATCATAATTGGAGGTTTATTTTCAATAAAAGCAGGCATTGTTAGTACAACACCCAACTTCAAAGACCTTCCTGAACCTACAGAATGCAAGGGGTAAGTATAATGTTAAATATACTAAAGGGTTGTTTTATGTAGCAAAGTACTGAAATGAGAATTGTGTGATATCCAACATAATCTGTGGTATATATATTTTCTACTAATTGTTTGTACTAGTCATCTTTCATATCCTTTTCTGAACATCATTGCAGCATACAGTTAAGAGAATTTCAGCTTGCCCAGACCATGATTTTCACAATACAGGAAATTAACAACAGCACAGAAATTCTCCCCAATGTCACACTGGGCTATAGAATCTACAGTGTGTGTCCCAACATACCTTCATCAATAAGAGGTGCTCTGAATATGGTGAATGGCCATGAAGAAGGAGATATTGCTGAAACGTCCTGCACCAGACCACCTAACGCCCAAGCAATTATAGGACAATCTGGATCATCTATAACGATTGGAACCATCACAACCGTTGGACCTTTTCAAGTACCAATGGTAAAATACGTTCAAATGCTCTGCACTTCTCAAAGTGACCAATTTCAGTAGCTGAACAATGGTTTGTGAATGCACAACAATTACTGTACAAGACATTGAACATTTTTTGGAGAATGATTGATTATTTCTGTCTCATTAATAAAAATAACCAACAATCCCTTGGCAAAGGTTTGTCTGGTTTCGGGGAAACTTCATATCGGGTATTTACAGTAGGTAATTTCTGATTTCCATATCTGACCACTACTATTCCATATGGTACAGGATATCAGATGATCATGGAATGTTGATGACACATTACTGTTTCTGTTTTCCAATAGCTTGACATTAAGCAGTATAATCTAATAACTGCAGGATACTACCCCTAGCTGTTTTCTAATGCAGTCAATTCTCTTGCTGGTGAAAGCCACCACAAGAATCTCAATTGCCCTATGCATCTAACTAACTGTGTGTCATCGTTTATTTCTTAGGAAAGTAACACATGTGAATCTATAAAGCAGTGTAGAAACAATAAATCCTGTACTGTATTTTAGAAAATGAATGTCTGGAGCAACTTATTTCTAGAAGCAGGATGCTTATATATGAAATATAATTTCTTTTTCACACACAGATCAGTTACCTTTCTACCTGTGCTTGTCTGAGTAACAGAAGGCGATTCCCTTCATTCTTCAGAACCATCCCCAGTGACTATTATCAGAGCAGAGCTCTGGCTCAGCTTGTGAAGCACTTTGGATGGACCTGGGTTGGAGCCATTAGAAGTGATGATGACTATGGAAACAGTGGAATGGCTACATTTGTGAAAATCGCACAACAAGAGGGGATATGTATTGAATATTCAGAGGCTTTCTCAAGTGTTGACCCAATAGAGAAAATTCAGAAAATTGCTCGCATTGTTAAACAATCCACCTCAAAAGTTGTCCTGGCCTTCCTGCCTCAGGTCGAGATGACCATGCTAACACAAGAAATGCTGCGGCAGAATATTACTGGCTTACAGTGGATAGGCAGTGAGTCTTGGATTTCTTCTAGAGGCATTGCTAATCGTGAGAGTTTTAAGATTCTTGGTGGGGCAATTGGATTTGCAAATGTTAATACAGAAATAAAAGGCCTGGATGATTTTCTGTTTAGCGTCCATCCATCTACTGACCCTGATAATGACTTTTTGACAGAATTCTGGGAAACTGTTTTTAGCTGTACCCTGACTCGCCAGGATGGTAAAGAAAATAAGAAGCCGTGCACAGGGGCGGAGAGCCTACGAGAAGTGAAAAACCAGTACACTGATGTGTCAGAGCAAAGAATCCCTCACAATGTTTACAAAGCTGTGTATGCAGTGGCACATGCGCTACATGATCTTCTGACATGCAAACCTGGGAGAGAGACTCTTTTCAACCACACATGCGTGAACAAGATGGAAATCTCACCGTGGCAGGTAAGGAGTGACCTTATAATAATACTGCTATGGTGAAAGGCACTATAGTAAGCAGCTACTGAAAAGCAGCTCTTGAGTTTAGTTCTCTAATGTGGCTCTAATGCAATCTGAAATCTGAGACAGCGTCACCAACTAATAGTAAATACCAAATTAACCCTGAACATAATCTGCATTTGCCTAGGTGCTCCATTATCTGAAAAATGTTCATTTCAAAACTAAAACTGGAGAACAAATGTCTTTTGACGAAAACGGAGATCCAGTGGCGAGATACGAATTAATTAATTGGCAGCTCAATAAAGATGGAAACACAGACTTTGCTGTGGCTGGATATTATGATGCCTCTTCTTCAGCAGGGCTGCAATTCACAATGAACAACATCAGCATGCTCTGGGCAGGCAGACAGATTCAGGTAATGCCTTACCCAGTCCATTCATTCTCAGCCTTACTGCTTGTTACTTGATACATGATACATAACAATTTACTTTGTTATGGGGCTTGATATATATTTCAAAAAGCAAAGACAGATAAGAACAAAGTAACATGGTTATACTTCAGGTGGGTAGCTGCGTCAGCAAGCGTAGGATGCAAAGGAACAAGTAATAGGTTTATTCCATACTGAAAAGAGAAGAAAAAACACAATGTTTGGCCATGGAGCCTTCTTCAAGTGTGATTTTGAAAAATGCTGCTGCAAATTCAGTCATTTTGGGGTGCAATAATCTAAAAAAAGTCCACAAGATCCTGGTGGGACTGATGTATATATTAAATTGTATATACATTTGGATTTATTGTATTAAGTATTGTAATACCCGATTGTATTAAGCTATTTCTGTGTGTTGATTTCAAGGTGCCTGTGTCAGTGTGCAGTGAGAGCTGCGCTCCAGGCACTCGGAAGGCTGTTCAGAAGGGAAGGCCTGTCTGCTGCTTTGACTGTGTACCATGTGCTGAAGGAGAGATCAGCAACCAAACTGGT